ATAGGAAAAATATTGAAAGAATTGATGAGGTGATGAAATTAATGAATTATTGATGAATGACTAATTTAATCTCCATTATAAATTTATTCATTATTTATCTTGTCATTTATATTCCTTAAAACTAAATATTTCCGTATCCGTCTCCCTTCTTGCTATTCGGATTACCGTAGTAATCTGAATTTAAAGAGAAGTTAGTATTAGAATTATGATTCATCATCATCGTCATCATCTTCTTCTTCCTCCTTTTCATCAACATCGTCATCTTCTTCTCCCTCCTCCTTTTCATCATCAACATCGTCATCATCATCTTCTTCATAATATTTCTGGGTAGTGTTTGTGGTTGTGTTTACAGCTAATGTTGACTGCGAAGATGATTCTCCATATGTTTCTTGTTGAGCTGCCATATATTGATTTAATTGTCGTTGGTGCTGCTCTTCCACACCTTCACCTTCCACCTCTTCACCTTCCTGTTCTTCTTGAAGTCTTTTCTGTTTTGATTTTTGATCCTTCTTGATAAAAGTAAAATCAGTACTTGAACAACCTCTATTTGACAGTAGAGAAATAAAGAAAAAAATTCAACATTATTAATGATGTATCAGGCTCAAAACTTAATATAATGCATAAAATTCGTCACCTGCAGCCACATAACACACATTCAACAACACGACCTTCTTCTAATTTGGATTTAGGAACGCGGCAAATACACGTCGTACCAAAATTTGTATCTCTAGGTTGAATACATCTTAAACAACAAAGTCTTTCAAATCCAGGCTAATAACAATAATAATTAATTAATTATATGTATGCTTATGATATAATAATTTTTGATGATGGTAATGATATAATAATTACCTTCTTCCATTTTGCAATTAAATTTCCATCAGCATAACCGTTTTTTAAACAATAATCATAAATTTCTTTTGAGATGGCCTCTCGTTTATAATAAAGGTCATATATATAACGCGATCTCTGATGGTGTAATCGAAATATTGGCCATAAAGATTCAACACGACGTTTTCCTTCATGTGGTTCGTTTTCAGCTTTATTAGTTAGATGATAAATTATTAATAATTACAAATAAATGCTTAAATAGATATTGTGTTGACGATTATTTAGATTTATTATTAGTGTGGTAGCTTAATTACCATCTTTCATTTTTTGAGCAAATTCCAATAAAACTGGTTCGATGTCTTCGAAGCCTTGTGGAGGTTTTTTAGTTCGTGAATGTCTGATCTTTGGCATTTTGAAAAAAGTTTAGGAAAATGATAGAGCTTTCTTTTTGGATCGTTTAATTACTTATCGGCAGTGTTACACGACATTACAAAAAGCTGCACAATTTATGTATCGCAAGATCAAATTTTCATAGAAAAAAAAATCTTACATTTATTATAATAATAAAGATGGCACGTAAAAGTCGTGGAGGAACAAGAACAGCGCCTAAAACTTCTAAAGCACCTACCCAACAAAAAAGACAAGCTTCAACTCTTCCCGCTCGCCCAGTCCAACCTGCTTCGAATGTACCAGCAAACGTACAAAAACCCCCACAAACTTTACCTAATCAAAAGCAACCTGGTTTATTTGGTCAGGTAAAAAAATAAACAAAAAAAATGTCATTCATTCAATCGATTGATGAATTAATTATTTTTAACTATTAATGTAGATGGCATCTACTGCAGCTGGTGTTGCTGTTGGTCACAGCATTGTAAGTAAAGAAATATCATTGAGTTATATTGATTATTGGTCTTCTTAATTTAAACAAACCACACTAATAATTTATTTTTGTTGTAGGGGCATGGTATCACATCACTTTTTACAGGTGGTGGTTCATCAGAAATACCTGCACCACAGGAGTCTAACCAACAATCTATTCCAGAGGTATAATTATAATCAATAATATTTTTTTATTTTTTAATTAATTTTTAAAATAAACATTTATCTTTTTAATTTTAGCAAACACAATATCAAACTTACTCTACAGAAACAACTAGCAGAAATCCAGGAGTTATTACTTGTGAAAATGATGCAAAAGCCTTTACTAAATGTTTAGAACAAAATAATCATGATACTAGTCTTTGTCAATGGTATTTGGAAAACTTAATAAATTGTCAACAAATGGCTTCAAAATATTAGATAATTTGGCTCTACATATATAAAAAAAACCACAAGTAAGAATAATAGGAATAAGAGTGATGCATTCAATATTAATATTCATGGTGTATTAAGAATTTTTGGATTTTATTTTTATTTTTGATGATCTATTTTTTTTATGATGAATAGAACCTTTGGATCAATTAACTCGATGGGTGGTGGATAAATTTTCTGATGTTAATAATAAATCAATACCAGCACCAAGTTTTGAAGAAAACCCTTTTACTAAAAATGAATTGATGGTAAATGTTTTTGAATATAAACATAATATTTATGTTAAAATTTTAACTCCTTGTCTATTTAGAAAAAAGTATATGTTAAACCTATTAAGGATTTAATAAATTTGGAAATAAAGTTTCCTTTTCCAGTTCAAGATCCTTTATTCCGTACTAAGGTAATATATATTAACACTTTATACTTTTTAACTTTTTTCATATCTATAAATTTTTAAATTTTTTTTCTGTAAAACATCATTATAAAGCCTGGAAGGTATATATCACATTTATTGGGTCATGAAGGTACTGGCTCTATATTTTCACTGTTGAAAAAGAAAGGTTTGTTATTTACAAAAAAAAAAAAAAGAAAATCATTATTTTTTGTTTATTTATTTATTTACTTATTTACTTATTTACTTACTTTTTATTGAAAAGGTTTAGCAAATTCTTTAGGTGCAGGATCAGGAGATGTGAGTGCAGGATTTGGATTCTTCAATATTGATGTTGATTTAACTGAATCTGGTCTAGGTAATTTTATGAGCGATTCTAATTAATAGTTATAATTGTTATAATTGTTATGATTATATTTATTTATTTATAACCATATAATGTTTATAGCTAATTATGAAGAAGTTGTTAAAATCATTTTTCAATACATTAAAATGTTGAAAAACGAAGGAATTAAAGAGTGGATATACAATGAGGTATGGTTTTAACAAAAATAAAATTTTTTATATGGGGATAATGTATATATTATATTTTACTAAATAAAAATTTTGTAAAGGCCAAAACTCTTTCTGCCATATCATTTAAATTCAAAGAAAAATCTCGACCTGAAAGTTACACTTCTTATCTTTCCAATGCTTTGCAAAGTTCATATCCTCGTGAATGGGTCTTAAGTAAACCCTATATTTTCAGGGAATACGATCCTAAGTTAATCCAGGAAAGTTTAGATTGGTTAAGACCTGATAATTTTAACCTTACTTTAGTCAGTCAAACTTTTACTGATTTGGATCAAAAAGAAAAATGGTATGGTGTAGAGTATAAAGTTGAACCCATCAGTGAAAACCTCCTTCAGGTAAAAGATCCATTAAATATAATTTGTAGAGTATATTGAAAATATTTATTTGATATTGTGGCTCATTACTAGCTTAAGAATAGTTGACTTATATATATATATATTATTAGGAATTAAAATCGGAAACTATTGACTCTGAATTAAAACTTCCATTATCAAATGAGTTTATTCCAACAAACTTTGAGATTAAAAAACAAGAAGTCATTACTGTATGTTTATTAACAAGAAAATATCTTTTTAGGAATACTTCCATTTTTCAATTTATTCAAATTTAAATATTATAATAATATAATAATTTGATTAGCCCCTCAAACATCCAAATTTAATTAAAAACACTGACTTGGTTCGTATTTGGTATAAAAAAGATGATACATTTTGGGTACCTAAAGTTTACATTTGGTTCAAAATTCAATGGTAAAGCTTTTAATTTAAATCAATCATTTAATACAAAATAATGATATCAAATATATTAATTGTTTATTAGTCCACTAGTGTATACTACACCAGCCCATGCTGTCAAGGCTCGTTTATATACTGATTTAATAACAGATGCATTAAATGAATACTCCTATAATGCAGAAGTTGCAGGGCTTCATGCTAGTTTACGATATGGCAATGATGGATTTTACTTTTTCATTTCTGGATACAATGATAAAGTGGTGGTTCTTTTAGAAAAAGTACTTTTGAAAGTGAAGAATTATGAAGTTGATTCAAAAAGGTTTGATATACACAAGGAAAAACTATTACGAATATATCGTAATACCTTATATGATAAACCTTACCAAATTGCAATGTATTATGTTTCTAATTTACTTTATCAAAAATTTTGGACAAATGAAGAAAAATTATCTGCATTGGAGAATATTGTTAGTCAGGATATTCAAAATTTCTATTCATATATATTAAATAATTTACATATTGAATGTTTAGTTCATGGAAATGTTGACAAGGAAGACTCACTAAAATATATAAAAATTTTTGAAGATATTCTAAAACCCAAGTCACTTTCTCCTTCACAAAAAGTTGGGGATAGACCAATTTTATTACCAGTGGGAAAAAGATATGTTTATCAACGTGATGTTTATGATACTAATAATGTCAATTCAGCAATAGAATATTATATTGAAATTTGTCATAATAAAGATGTTAAATCAAGAAACAAATTAAGCATATTGGCACAAATTATTAATCAACCTTTTTTTGATCAAATCAGAACTAAAGAACAATTGGGTGAGCACCATTTATTATTAAATATATATATATATTTGTTTGCTAACTAATTTTGATGTATATATTAGGATATTTGGTATTTAATGGGATAAAAACAACTGCTGGAATAATGGGTTTAAGATTTATAATTCAAAGTGAAAAGGACCCAAATTATCTTGAACATCGAATTGAAGAATTTATTAAAGCATTACAAGTATACTTTTTTTAATTAGTTAATATTTATGTATTTATATATATTAATCAATAAATCAATCAATCAATCAATTATTTTTTTAGAAAATAATAGAAGAAATGTCAGATGAAGCATATGAGAAACACATTCAATCAATCATTACAATAAAAACAGAAAAGCCTAAAAATTTATATCAAGAAGCTTATAGATATTGGAATCATATTACTAATGGATATTATGAATTTAATAAAAGTAAAATTAAAATATTTTTGTTTAAAAAAATTTTCTATACTATACAATTCAAATAAATCAAATAACTTTATCATATATTATTAATATAGCTGAAACTGATGTTGAAGAATTACGTAAAATTACAAAATCAGAAATACTTGATTTTTTCAAAGATCATTTTTATACAACATCACCAAATCATAAAAAACTTTCAGTACATTTAAAATCACAGAAAAAAGTCCAAAAAACCAAACCAATTGACATAAAACATCTTCATTCATGTTTAAATGAACAAGGAATCACTAAATTTGATATAAGAGAATTAGAAGAGACTTTAGATTCTACTGAATCAGAAAAAATTGATGCACAAGCATTAGAAGAGATTTTGACAACATTGTTAATTGATGAGAGTAAGGCAAATGAAGAAGAAATTGAAATCTTGATGAAAAAGATTAGCAAATCATATTTGAATAATGGTGGTAATGAAAGTAGCAGTAATATTACTAAAGATTTGAATGGTGATGGTGATTGCAATAATAAAAATAAAGAGAATGGTATTGGAAAACAAGAAATTCATGTTGATAATGAATTGGTTGAAGATATTGTTTTATGGAAATCTAGCATGAATTTAGGACCAGCACCAATTCCTAATGTTGATTTAAATAAATTTATTGAAACAACAAAATAAAATACATCATATGATATAAAATATAGGTTTGATTCTTATAAGAATGAACATGAAAATAATTTTGCCTGATTTTGGTCATTAATAAAAATAGTTGGGCCTATAAAAATTTAATTTTGTCCAAAGTATACAAAAAATTGGAAAATTCTGCATTCAAATGTTCAATCAACATTTTTCTTTCTTTATGTTTTTTCTCAATGATCATTGATTCTTTGGTGATAGATTCTTCAGCATTCTTGAGGTTGATCAGTTCATTATTCAAGACCTCTAATTCCTGAGATTTGCTTGTGATCTGTGATTTGAGGTTTGTGATTTCTCTTTAATGATTGACAATTTTCTTTTAATTTCACTGTCCTTTTCCAATGATCTTGACATTTTGTTTTTTTCTCCTTGGGTTCCCCCTTGATCTTCTTGTTTTCCAAAATGCAAGATTTGATCCGTTTTCTTATTGTTAAATAATAATTAGAGTCTCTCAGGGTTGTGCAATTTCGCTGTATGAGAAGAATCTTCATACGTATGTATGTACAGTTTCGTTGTGGTTGTACACCTGTACGAGGAAATTTTACATATGTATGTATGTACGTATGAATGTACGAATGTACAATGTATCAGGAACGATGATTTTCTGTGGTGACAAAATATTACTTTGTAAAATCCTATAATAATATTATTATTATTAAGCTGATAACCCTATTATATAATTAATGGATTACCAGATGTTGTAACTGGGGTTGTAACACTATTTCATTATCAGAAAAAACCTGATTATCATGTTATATATGGGATGTCCACCAGCAAAAAGGGGGTCAGAGGACTTCCAACCAAAATTGAGTTTTTTGCATATTATTACTCTATGATATAAAGACTATGACTAGTAACAATATTAAACCATTTTTGCATAATAAAAAAGTTTAATTACAGGGATAACAAAATGAATCCAAAAAATCCAAAAATGGAAAAGGAAGTGATCTACATACTGAAATTGTGCAATAAATAAATTGATAAAATAAAATTGATAAAAATAAATAATATAATTATTGATAAAATAAATAATACAATTATTGATTAAAATAAATAATATAATTAAAAATAATAATATGATATAAATTGTCAAAATACAAATTAATTAGGTTCAGGACAAAGAATATCTCTATATTGAATATCTACATGTTGCCGAATATTTGTATATAAATATCTCTTTCGTTTATCTGTTAAAGGAGTAGTTCCAAGTGTATTTAATGGACTGTTTTTATCAAAATTAGTATTTTTAAATAGTTCAAAACAAATTTCTGGGTCTCCCAATTTTTTTGAAACATAGACCTTTCCAATATCATCATCCAACCTACCAAAACGAAAATGATGATATTTTCT